AAAAGGTTTTTTTAGGAAAGCTTTACGACCTTGCTGGTCTTTGGACCTAATTTTCTTCAGCCTGTCCTTTAGGGTAAATAACAAGTGTCTTAGTTACCTTCATATCACTGAGACACAATACCTGACACTCACAACTCTAAGGAAGAAAAGTTTATTTTGGCTCGCAGTTTGTAGAGGTTTCAATCAATAGTTGACTGGCTCCAAGGCAGGGCAACAGAGGAGAAACAGTGCATGGCATGGCTACTGGAAGTGGGGGGTGGGTGGGGGGGGTGAGGGAGGGGTGAGGGAGGGAGAGGGAGATACATCTTTCCAGGCCATGGTCTCAGTAACCCACCTCCTCCAATCCTCCAACCAGGCTTCACCTCCCAATATCACATCTAGCTATAATCTCATCAGTGGACTAATCCACTAATGAGTATCACATTCCTATGATCTAATCACCTCTAAAAGGCCCTATCTATGGGAACAGGAGGCTTTGGGGGAATATTACATATAGAGGATAACACAAGGTGACTTTTTGGAGTGACTGTGATCTGTCTTAACTCTAAACACACACGCATGCACGCATGCACACACACACACACACACACACACACACACACGGCCAAATCATCTGCATAACCTGCTTCCCTGGTTGATCTGTTTGCCTAATACTTTTACTTAACAGCTTCCAGGGCCAGCATCCTCATCATGATACTGAACACCACGGATTTTCATCAGCAGAGAAAGGGACAGCGACACTTCTTTGTGGGCAATAGGGAGTTGTTGGTGGACCCACCAGCAAGTTGCAGACGTCTTTGAGTTCGGTGTGATAAGTGCTAAGATAATTCTGAAAGTTACAAAATCACTTCGAATATTGGGAACAGAGCAAGAGTCAACAGTGACACTTTGTAGGACTCTGTGTTTCACTGCTGCTGAGGGAGGATAATGACCTTGGGTAGATATTTATTCAAAGAGAAAGCATTGTTTCTAATATAAAAATGTAGCTGATAGAAACTGAGAAATAGAAGAACCTGTTGTTTATGATCAAGAGGCAATTGTCAGTATTTTAAAGATACTTTCTTGATAATTGCTACATCCATTTGTCATACAGTAACGGTTTTCCCTATGTATTTTGGGAAAGCCCATCTCAGTCAGAGGGGAAATTATTTTATGTAAACACTTATTAGGATAACTTAGGTACAGGAGAAAATATTCTGGTGCCCTAACTATTGGGAACCCTTTTCTAAGGAACTGCCACAGAGTTCTCTAGACTTTTCCTTTATGGAAGGACTTCTATAGAGACCAGTAAATCCTTGGTGTATCTCCCAACTATGTTTTGAATGTGTGCAGCTCTCTTTGTCCATTCCACCACCTTATCCTAAATGACAATCTTTTATCTGGACCCTTACAATAGCTTTCTGGCTCTGCACTTCCTTCCCTCGGCATGCCCTCTTTTTATAGTGCCAAGTATTTCTTTTAAAAACACAAATTAGATCAAGTCATTTCCGCTTCACACCTGCTGGGAGCCTTTGATTTCCAGTTGAATACAATCCAAACTCCTTGCTGGCCACAGAGTTGAATACAATATGGCCTCTGCTCAGTGCTCTAAATTCATCTTACCCCTTTTCCAACCTCCCTTTCCAATCCACAGTGCTCTTTTCTTCTGCCCCAGTGCCTTTGCACTCACTGTTTCTCCATGGTTGGAGAACGTCTCCAGATATTCACAGTTGTTCCTTACTAGACTTTGAATTCCATTTCAATCCTTATCCCCTTACGAATCTTCTCAGACCAATCTCCCCTCAACATAGATCCTGGGTCCTCTCAGTCCTAACACTCTAACTTTCTTCACAGCACTTGTGTGTTCCTGAAGTTATTTTTTGTTGAATTGTTCATAAAATCTTTGAGTGACATTGACTGAAGATGTAATGGGGAAAGGACATAGGTGTGGGGGGGTGTCAAGTTTGGGCCAGGGGTACTTTTTTGGAACGAGGCAAGGCAATGTGATTATATTTTTTCTTGAGGAAAAGGTGGGATAAACTACTGTATTTTTTCTGGAATATGTTGCTCCAAGGCTTTGAATGTTCTAAGAAATAGTTTGTAAAAATTTCAAGGAAAGAAACAAAGAGAGCCTGCAATTCCCTGAAAAATTATTTTAAGGCTCCTTTCTACTTGTTTTCTAATTAAATTGCAATTATCGAGATGTAGCACAGCGTAGTTTTCCAAAGCTGAACTGAATCCCTAATCTTCTGCCTACCAGCTGTGTGATCTAGGGATGGTAAAGTCTGACCTCACTCTCCTCATTTGTAATGGCGGGATAGTGATAGTACATTCATTCATTATATTCATTAACATTAAAGTGTGGACCTACTTCATGTATGTTTCTAGAATGGACTGTGGCATATAATATGTATTCAATAAATGTTAACTGTCATTATTAGCAGAGACTAGAAAATCATCTTGCCTCTTAGTGCCTCTTAAGAGAGGAAATGGTCAACATCATTACAGGATTGCAAATTAAAACAACACTGAAATTCCATCTTACCCCAGACAGAATGGTTATCATCAGGAAATCAAATAAAACAAATGTTGTCCAGGCTTTGGGAGAAAAAAGAACCCTCCTCCATTGTTGGTGGGAAAGTAAAGTCATACAACCACCATGAAAATCAGTATGGAGATTCCTCAAAAAGCTAAAACTAGAAATTCTTTTTGACCTATCTATTCTGCTTCCAGATATCTATCTGAAACAGTTAAAGACATCATATTACAAGGATATATTATGGGCACTGCATACCCATGTGTATACCAACACAATTCATAATGGCTAAATATTGGAAGTAGCTTATATATCCATCAGATGAAGCAAAAAAGAAAATGTGGTATTTGTATGCAGTGGAATACTACTCTGCCATGAAGATGAACTTGAGTCATTTGTAGGAAAATGAATGCATAATGAGACCATAATGTTAAATGAAATAAATGAGACACACAAGCTTAAATCATGTGATTTTTCTTACGTGAGAAATTCAAATTATAAACAAAGAGATAATATGATATACAGAGATAGATCTTTCTCAGCAGGAAAGGGAATGAAGGGATAGAGGGAGAGGAAAGGGAAAGGAGGGGAAAGGGGTTGAAAAAGGATTTAAAATAGGTTATGTACATGCACTACTTCCATACAAGGAATGTGAACATTACGTACTGCAAACATGGGCTAATAAAAACAAAAGGAAAATAGAAGTTTGGAATTTCATTTCCACTCAGGGTAAGGCGACAGGAGAGATCAAAGGAATGCCCCACTCTTGAAGCAGTTCCCTAATTTTGTCTACAGAGTTTCACAGTAGACAGACATTTTTGTGTCTGTTCTCAAAATTATGAAACAATGAAAAAAACGCTCACCACCAGAAGCTGAGAAATAATGCAAGTAGCATTTGAGAAATATAAAATGGAAATGTAGAAAAATGTTGTGGCTTGGTTAAGTAGACACACACATTTGTGCACCCACCGTACAGTTTTTAAGTGAATTTGTGTTAATAGTACATGCCGCAAAGTGAAAGTATTCCCTCTTAATTTTATTTTGTTGACTTCTTTCCTTCTATAAAAGTGTCAAAATCCATGGGGAGAAATCTCAACTTTTGTGCTTGCAGTCATACCTCTAGTGGTAGTGTAAGTAGTTGGCTAGCTATGAGCTGGAGCCGAGAACACTAGTGCAGCCAGGGAGGAAAATATCTCAAAAACAGTGTGGCCAGGCATCCTGAGCTTGTGATTTCCAGGCTCCTCAGAGGGGCTCATCCTCAGCTACTGGGGCCCCACATGTACAATAAAGGCCCACGGCCTCATGATGTCCACTGCAACTCCTAAATGCGGGGCCGCTGGCCCAGCCAGCCTGGAATGCACACCCTGGCTTCACAGACTCACAACATGCAGACTTCCTGCTGAAACTGAGCAGGCCATAGTCCAAACGGTGGTGAGACAGAGGATTCCATCCCAAACCGGGCCCTTTTCCCTTCCCATTCCCCTCATAAACAACAATCCCCAGCCCTCTCTGGACACTCGACTTTCACGAGTTTCCCATTTGGAGCTATGCTTTCCCAAGTGTGCTATGCCTGTCTCTCAGTAAACTGTCTTGCTAACCCTGTCATTTGCTGACTCTTTTCCTTTGCTGCACACTTCCTTGCAGTTCTTCTAGGGCAGAATCTAGGAACTGAGACAACTTTCACAACTGAAACCAATCTGCTAACAATAGCACCTAGAATATATTTGACATCAAGTAGGCACTTAGGCAATGTTTGTTGAATGAATACTCTAAGTGATTCTTCAATTTAGATGCCATAAATATCCCATGGTTTAGCTCATTAGCTTATTCAACACTAAAGTTTTCATTGCTGGGACTTGGATGAGCCAATGGTTTTAAACATCCCATAACGTTGTATTGCATTTCCTCCTTTTAGATATCAATCCAATTACGGCCTTCACTCCATCCTAAATTCCTCCTGGATAGGACCACCTCATTGTCTGATACAGCCTTTTGGTCTCCTGAGCCAACTAGCAATTTACTGATGGACCAATTTGTAAACGGATTTTCTACATCTGTCAAAATGTCAGGCTCATCCTGTGAAAATGAATATTCTCACTTACATCAGCTCAATGCTTGCACATTTATTCCAGTTTCATGTTAACTTTTCCTATTCTGCCTACCTGGGAAATTGAACTCTTGTTCAATATATGCGTGTTTCTTCAAAATTTACTAAGTGAACAAAAAATAAAATAAAATTTACTAAGTGACTAATTCTTTTATTTACAAAAGACTTACAGGCTTCTTAATCCCAAAAGAAGAAAAAACAGTCAGCAAAGTTAAGCAACATTAACTGAGTTTTCTGTAGCCTTTTGATAAGCTATTAGCATTGGAGCCAACGCCATGCAAGAGTTAACTATTAAAAAAAAATCAGAACAAAACAGAAAGGAAAGGAAGGGCCTCTGGCTCCAAGTGGCTAATCTTTGAACCTGTTTCTAAGATTATAACCTACTTTGTACAACCTTCAGCTCCAAAGAAACTTCACCACAGGATTAAATTTTATGTAAACAAAGATCCTTTTATTTATAACTCAGCTTCTCTGAAAAACAAGAAGCTCCAGTTTACATGTTTGCAGTGCTTTATTCATGCTGATTCCTCAACATGTAATTTTTTAAAAGTTTGTTGATCTTGCAGAATTGAAGCAGCAGTGAATGGAGATGGTGCATGCAAAGGTAAAAGTCATTCATTTATTTGAGTTGTTGTAGGTTGCAATCTAATTGTTTGTGCTTGGAGAAAATACAGTAGATTTAATACTTAATGATAAAGTTTAGATTCTTTGGCTTTTTTAATCATTTTGCCTGTACTTTCCTGATAGCAATAGCAATGCTATTGAGTGGAGATTCATTTGTACAATAGCAATAAAATCATTTGTCTATATGTGCATATCAACTTTGAGTTTTAAATATGTAGTTACAAGTGGTTTGGAGTATTACAAATGAGTCTAAATGATTCTGGATAATGTTCTTTTCTTCCTACTTTCTCATTGTCCTGAAAGGCCCCTGTTTACCTGATTCTTTCACATCAATACTTTAAATTTTGATCAAGCCCACATTCTCCACATTCTTCTCTCTCCCTTGAAATCCTAGAGCATTAGTTATCAAGACTGTATTCATATACTCCCTTGGCAGACATATATACACTCTTTAGTGGTGTTTTCATTCAAAATTTTAAAATAAAAACATTGAAATAATAACAACTTAAAAAGTCAATTTGGTGCATATCCTTTTATATTTTCTTCTATAGTCACAGAAACATATGTAAATATGTATAGTTGTGTTGAAGTATATACCTATGATCCCTCTACTTTTATTTACAAGCACTGGATCATCATTATGTTCCTATCTTGTTGCTATATTCATTTATCTGTGTACTGTAGATGTCTCTCTAAGTCAGCATGTATATCTAAGTCATGCCTGCACAATCTAGCCTTGAATAGCAACCACCATTTCTAAACAGTAGATTTCCAAAAGGAAAGCATAGAAGCATCATCTGCTGAAGTTCACAACACCACCATTTCACCACCTCATTCCACCGAATGCTATAAATCTTTTCCATTTGTGAAACTTATTACTTGAAAAAATGAGGGTTAATTTGAATTCTGTTTCCTTAACAAGTAGTGATCTTTTTATAAAAGGATTTTTACAATTTTTTTTTTTGGTACCGGGGATCGAACTTGGGTCCTTGCGCTTGCGCAGCAGGTGGCGAAACCACTGAGCTAAATCCCTGGCCCGATTTTTACAATATTTTAATAAAAATATTTTAATAAATTTTTCACCCGTTTTCATTTCCCTTATACAAACCCCCATTTATACATTTTACCCCTCACTTCTTCTTTTCTTTTTGGGGGGGACTTGCTCTGTTGCCAGCTGGGCACAGAAAGATTGAACTCGTTAATCCTTCTGCCCCAGCCTTTTGAATCCTGTTATTACAGGCATGTGCCATCTAACTCATGTTTTCTTTTTTCCCACTTTTTCCCCCCATGTGTGACTGTGTGGGTCCTAGAGTTGTGAGACTGGGTAGGTGGGGAAGCATGAAAAGAGCTGGATGTTTTCGGGAAATTTGGGCAGTACAAATTAAGGAAATTAGACTACTACCTTTTTGCAGATTTTCCTCCTTGGGCTCAGTTGCCGGTATTCCATTTCCAGCAAATATTAGCTGTCTACCTACCCTTGCACTTGGTCATTTGAACTCTTCCTTGTTCTATGCCCAAATCAAATAGTGCCCTAACACCCCAAACACTATGTGAATGGCAACTTTGTTGTTCTTCCTTCAAGTTTATTGAAAGCAACAAAAATTCTTACAGAAGAATTTATTATTTAGTTATTGGATTCATTTACTTTCTTGATTTTTTAGAAATCTAACAATTTTATCTAGACCTATGAAATGATTGTTTGTGTACCTGTTCTTTTATTTATCAGCACCTTATTTTTGAAATTACACTTGGATGATATTGACTATTTTAAGAAGCATTATATTGAGCATTGTCTACTGTAAGAGGTTTTTTTTTTTACATAGCTTGACAAAAGACATATTTATCCTTGTCAAATTTAACTTTTTAAAAAAATCTAAAAGGCAACCAAGGTCTTCACAGATGAATAGAGAAGTAGCTTTTTGAGAATTTTATATATAGATTTATTAGAAATTTCCTTTATGATTAAAAATGGGTATGTTTCTAATTAAGTATTTAATACAACTACAGAATTTATTATCTTCTTAAAGGGAGCAATTCATCCTAACTAAAGGAAGCTAGTTTTTTAAGGTTTTTGGGAATTGTTGCTTAGAATGACATTTGGGAATATTTTACCCTCCACCTTTACATAAGTAGATATTCTGATTTTAAGAATTAGCATAATCTGCTGTACAAAAAGTAGCTGCAAAGCATAAATATTTGGCCACTAGAACATGGCTTCTAGAATGCCAGAGGGGTGATTTTTGGATCCTCCCCCCAGAGGAATGAATTCTTTGATAATAGTAGGGAAGAATGGAATCCACCATGTTAACATTTAGTATAGGTAAGAGGTAAGCTTTTCTTTTGTAATGTAGGAAAAGTAAATTATACACAATTATACAAGAAGGTTGTAAAGCAAGACCAGTCTGGCACCTAAAAAACAGGTATAATTTCAGGCAGACCAGTCTTACAAGTCTATCTATATGGATGATGAAGCATGGATTGATGAAAATAGATTTCCTTAAAACTAGTTATCCCCATATTCTCCTTGGAAATTTTTGAGCATATACCTTGTTTTGGAGAATGGTGTTGTAGACTATCTATGAACTTGCAAAGGAGATGGACAAGAACAGGTTTTACGAAAATGTTCATTGTCAGCATGCCTCTTTTCTTTCTTTGTACTTTTTCTTTTTTAATAGCTCATCCCTACTCTTCCTCCATGATTTTTCTTGCATCAAGGGTCTATCCCAGTGGTGGCGAACCTAAGGTTCACCATTACTGGTCTATCCCATTACTTCCTTGGGGCTTTACTCTTACGTAGATGTTAACTAACTTCAACTATTAGTGACAAGAATTTCCCCTTCAGGATAGTATTTCTGTTGTAGTGATGAACGCTTGAACTAATGGAACTTTTAGTGAAGGACTCTTGCAACAGAATGAATTTGAAATGGTACACTTAAAGGAATTAATTTGGAACAAAGTTTCTGCTCAAGACCTGTTACTTCATTCAATTTTTTCTATTTATAAGAGTAGAGGCACGTATTCAAAAGAACGAAGTGAATTATCACAAACCAGAACCCAGTTTTACCACAGTGATAGTTGTGTGGGGAACAACAGTCTCCTAGGTTCATGTAAGCTTAATTGTTTCAGTTGTAGATGGCCCGTATTCATATGCCAATAGCATAAGCAGGGATTGTACCTATGAAGGTCAATAGTATTTTTTTAATCTAAGTCCATACATCTTTGATAAATTTGGTTTTCCATTTTATTAAGCATGTTTACACCTTCAGTTTTTCAAGTGTTTAAGTGATAGGGTTTCTGACTACTTAAATTCTATCCATTTAGAATTTTTAGAATTTCCTCCTCCTCTTGTAATCTACTTACAATCTAAGTAAATTCTACCAGATGTGCTGTTTTTGTATTGTCGGTTATTTCCTGGTAAGGATTGGGTGCCACTTACTGAGCATAACTTTTGTTCTCAAGAACAAAAGGAATGTTACCACAGGGAAGAAGATAGATTTTCAGAACCTGTATCTTATATTGCTCAGTCAAAATTTTGTAATCCTAGATGCAATTTTGCAGTCCAAGTGTCTCTGTGTCACTTCATTATAGGAGCAGGGAAGGCGTCTAATGATGCAAATCCTATTTAGGATGTGGGTAGATTATTGTCATGATTCTATTTCTCTTTTTGTTTATCTTTGGATATTTCTCCACATTGTTGCATACCCACTTGTGTTACTTACCTTTACTTTCTTCCCCCCTCTTTTTAAATCCTTTGGTCAATAACAAAAGTACCTATTGTCACATCATACCATTCCTTTGTGTACTAACTGTACATTATGGCTAAAATACCTACCATGATTAACCCAAATGCAAGCCAGGTACTTTCCATATTTTATTCCTCTTTTTTAATAAAACTATACAAGGTAGACATTACTTAGAAAGGGAAAATAAAATGTGACACTTTATCAACCTCATTGCACTCTACTAAATCATTAAATTATATTAAAGTCTACTTGCTAATTGGCTTTATTATTCATAAAATACATTTGTTCAATATGTACTAAATATCTATTATGTGCAAATAATGGGCTTAAGTATTGTAAGGATGACAGATACTCATACATCTTCATCCCAGATAGTTCACAGATTAGATAAGGAAATAACACCTGGGCATATACCACTAAAGTATAAAGTAAATAAATTTCCCCAAAGTAGTCTCAAAATGCCGACTACTAATATGTAATGAATACAAAACTAAGTTAAATAAACATTTGATTAATGAGTGAGTATTTGGAATGAACTCATATTGGAAGAGTAATGCATACTTTTGTCTATGCAAATGCCTGCTGTGATGGCACACATCTGTAATCCCAGTACTGGGAAGGCTGAGGCAGGAGGATTTAAGTTTCAGCCCAGTCTGAGCCACTTAAAGAGTCCTTGTCTCAAAATAAAATTTAAAAAGGGACTGAGGATATAGCTCAATGTAAAGGCCCTGGACTTAATCCGAGTACTGGGGAAGAAAAAGTCTGTGTAAATCAGGTTGGGATCCACAGAAAATGTGGCATTTGAATAGAGCCTGAGTATAAACCCCAGTGGTGGGAAGGGATATTTCAAGTGAGGAAACTGAATGCGCCAGAGTATGGAGGGGAGTCCGTGTTAGGTATGAAATGGGTAGAAGGTTAATGCACAAGGGAAGCAGAAGCAACCCAGATGGAAGTTCAGACTGAAGTCTCATAGGAAAGACCTTGAGTTATCCACCACAGCCTGTGGGCTTCTTCACCCAGCAATATTTGCATTCAACTGTGTAGTTTTCTTAACCAAACACAGACCAAAGGAGTAAATATCCTGATAGAAACCTGAATATGAAAATTCCAACTGGATTTTGGAAGGAAAAAAAATAAATTACCAGCAATTTTGTAGTGCTGGAAACACTTAATAAATGTGTTGGATTATTTTTCAAACTGTATCCTTTGAAACCTTAAAAAAAAACAAAATAAAACA